CAGCTTCTCCTCCTTCTCCACACACGCTCCACATATATATACAGTACAGCCCCTCCTCCTGATGTCCCGCCTTCCACTCCCCATAGGATGGAACTTTCCCTCCAAACCCATGATAGACAGGTAACATCAGTGCTGTATGTAACATCTCTCCTGTAAGTTCCACTGATTCAATGGACCTATTCCAGACATGGTTTTTGTTGACTAAAACTCCCAGAATCCCCCAATAACAAAAAAATGTGAGAGATTTCCAAACTCTGCAGTGCAGTGATATATGTTGCAGACACATTGCTTTATGGGAAAAGTAAGATCTATTGCTCTGTGAATGTGCCATTTGGGGTAATATCTGTTATCATTTGGTCACCAGAGGGATGTTGTTATTTATTTGTCTATTTTAAATATTTTTACTCTGACTTTCTCCTTGAAAAGGACCCAAGGTGGCTTACAACAATGAGAGACAATATTTGATGTTGAAAACAATGAGTATACAATGGTGGTTAACATCATTAGAAGATGATAATTTAAAAATACAAACAATGAATTAGGAGGCATCTTACATCATTAACAGGCAATATTGAGGCAAAGGTCAATAAGTATACAATTTGTTTTAAGACATTGCTCTGAGAAATGGAAAACACAAAAATGGAAAACATAAGTAGCACTAAAAAACTAGTCAAAGCAGTAATGTATAGCAATCTACCCAGTTTCCGCGAAATAAGCCCTACCACAAAAATAAGCCCCAGTTAAGTGAAACCCCACCCTCCACCTTTGTACAGCAACCAGAAGATTTGTATTTGGCTGTGTTTGAATAAATGTAGATTGCTGTACATGAAAAAAAAAACATCCCCTGAAAATAAGCCCTAATAAGTTTTTGGAGCAAAAATTGACATAAGATTCTTATGTTAAAAAATTAACATAAGACTCTGTCTTAGTTAGCAAAGATGGGGCCGGTCTGGCCTCCTGTGGGAGGGAGTTCCAAAGGCTGGGAACAGCCACAGAGAAGGCCCTCGCCTCTGTCCCCATCAGACACACCTGTTAATGTGGTGGGGCCAAGAGAAAGGCCTCTCCGGATGATCTTATCCCCTGGGATCTCTTTGGACAAAATGTCCTGAAATCTGATACCAGCTTTGGAGTTGGAAGTGAGCGAAAGATATGACATTAGGAATCTTAAGTAACACAGTTGCCCCAAACATAGTTATATTTCAGAAGTAACATAATGAAGAGGAACAAAGTTACTTTATTAGTTTAATGCATGGGGGATGTAGTGTGACCTGCAGGCTGCATGGAGCCCCCAGAAACCCAGTTCTGGCTCTTCACATTGCTAGCACAATCCGCCTGCCTTCTCCCTCTTTTTGGGGGGGATGAATGAGGAAGGAATGAGTAAAGGAAGCTTTACTGATTCCATTAAGGGCACATTAGCAGGCAGGTTCCAGCACTAAATTCTGGCCCACACAAAAGTTGGAAGATTCTCCCCAATCGCTTTACATGAACTTTATTGCTAATTGTTTTCCCCACCCCCGTTTCTTTCTGTTTCTAAAATCTCTTCATGCGAGCCTGTAAAGATACTTAACACTTAACCATTTGGCTGGGAGAGCTCGCAGGAGCAAAGCCGGCTAATTAATTACATTTGCTTGTTTGGGGAGAAAATGCACTGGAATGATTTTTCCAGCCAATGACACCCTTGAGAAGCGACAACAAACTGGAACAGTTCTCTGGCTTCTGCTCACAGGTCCTCCCTTTCAACCGAATCGCTTAATATAGCCTGCTGTTAAAACCAAGGCAGCTTGGTTTATCTGTGAGTGCCATACTTTGGGAAGAGAAGCAGCCTTTCATGACCCATTTAGGGAGCACCTGTTATGCTTCCGCCTCATTAATCAAGCTGTTTTTTCCTGATAAATGTTGCTGGGCAAACACCATTGGTCTTCCACTCCTTATTCACGTTACTCTACAGTCTGCGCTGGAAGCACAGGCAGCAAATGGTGAATAGGTTGCTGTGTTCCAGGTATGTACCTTTTATTATGCACTGATCAAGCCATTAAAAAGCAGACAAGGAGAAAGAAGGCACTTTAGTGCCAGCTATTAACACAACACTAACTGGTGTAAAACCAAGATTTCACTTGGATGTCACTTAGTTTTCGGCCTCTTTCATTCTTAGACTTTGCATTTTTCAAGAATGACTCTGAATTTCCTTTGCAACAGAACCCTGTCCCAGTCCTGAGGAGTTCATATAAGTCCAGTTCTAAATAAATTATGTTGTTGTTTTTGTTTGTACTGAAATGTCCTGTGCTCAGCCAGAGGCATTTACATGAATTCTCTTGAACTGAAAGACAAGAAAAAGCAGAAAGTCCCAAAGTGGTGACTAAAATGCCTCCAGTCATTCCACACAATGAAGGCATGGATCAGGAAGGTGCTGAGGGACCCTCTTTTTTTCCACATCTGGCAAATCTAACACAAGGTATTTGTTTGGTGTCTCCGTTACTTCTGTAATCTATTTTGCTTTTCCTTTTTGCCAGAAACCTAACCGGTGGACACAAAATCTGGCAGGTGTGGGAGCTGGCTTATTGATCCAAGAAATATAAATAATATATCTGATGTTTTTCAAGAACAAAGATTTTCATCATGTTGAGGTGGTTGGATGCAAAAGGCTCCTCATTATGTTGTTTGTTATATTGGCAAATTGGCAAATTTCCTCTCTTCAGCACTGTATTTAAATGTACAGCAAAACTCTAAGGTCTAACTACTTTTGAGGTTGTTGTTATGTGCCGTCAAGGTGCCCCTAACTTATGACGATCCCCTGAATGAGTGGTTTCTAAAATGTTCTGTCCTCAGTAGCCCTGCTCATCTCTTGCAAACTCAGGCCTGTGGGTTGCATTAGGGAAGGGGTCCCTAACTCCTGGTCTGTGGCCCTGTGCCAGTCCGTGGCCTGAGCCGGACCAGGCTGTGGAGACAGACCTTCCACCCCTGCACACACACACCTCCCACACAGCTGATTTGAGCATGCACACACACTGCAGCGTGCCTGTACGGGTGCCGCACTACCATTTGCACATGTACATGAGTGTGCACGCACCCCACGTGAGTGCCGCACCGCTGTTTGTGCATGCATGTGAGTGCACCCACACAAGTGCCACGCCACTTGTGCCCCACCTTCCCCAGCCAGTCTGCGGGGTGAAAAAGGTTGGGGACCACTTCCCTAGAGGGTGTAAAGTGACTTTCTGATAATACCAACTGCAATAGCTTTATTTTGATGTGAGGGCAGGGGAGCTGGAGGCCACATCTGGCCTTCACAGGTAGAGGTAGCCCTTACACCACAATTTGCCTCCTCCCTCAATAGTGGAATGATATTTGTACCTGAGACCACATAATCTGCTTGCAAGTGAACATGATGCACTCATCAGCTTGGTTTTCTCCTTTTAACTTAAAGCCGGATGGCCTTATTTTAGCTATTTGTGAGCTAGATGAAGTAATATTAAAGGAAAGTAGCCAGAGACAGCAGTTGCTTGAGAGAAATAGGTGCGGAACCAGTTCGGGTTCCTCTGGAACTAGAATTCAGAGGGGGAAAATTCAAACACAAAATTATTTCTGTTTTACGGTTGTTGTGGGTTTTCCAGCCTGGTTGGCCGTGTTCTTAAGGTTGTTCCGAGACAGAGTTCTGACTCCTGTCCTCTGAAGATGCTGGCCACAGAGACTGGTGAAACGTTAGGAAGAAAAAACCTCTGGAACACAGCCAAACAGCCCAGAAAACCCACAACAGCCATCGGATCCCGGCCGTGAAAGCCTTCGAGAATACAAATTTCTCTTTTACTTTAGTTCTTCTCCACCCTGCTGGACAGGAAGTTTTTTCATTTCTTTTAAATTGTTGCTAATATATTGCCAAGGCTTTGAAAGGGCCTAAGAAAGAAAGAAAGAAAGAAAGAAAGAAAGAAAGAAAGAAAGAAAAGGCCCTTCAATGCATCACTGATGTGCTGTGCCAATTAGAAACAATTAAAAGCAAAGGGAAAACTTCCCCTTCCTCCCCCTTCACAAGAGACCAGGGAAGGAAGCTTTTCAGTTCTTAAGATTGCTAAACATCTTAAACAAAGCACAGAGGAGGAGATGGTGGGGGCAGGAATTTTTTTTTTCTTTTAACTGAAAATATTAGTCTAGATCAGTGGTTCCTAATCTTGAGTCACTAGATGTTCTTGAACTAAAACTTCCAGGAGCTGTGCTGGTCACGATTTCTGGAAGTTGTAGTCCAATAACCTCTAGGGACCCAAGGTTGGGGACCTCTGGTTCAGATCATGCTAAACAGAGTTGCTTGAGGTGCAATGTGGCCGATCCTTACATGTGGATGCGAGGATCACTCCTCATCACACCTCCAAATGACCCCATCTGATCAAATCCAAAGTTTCTTTGCTCCAGTATTCAAGCTACAACAATACCACCGCTGTTCATATCTACTCCTCCACTTCTAGGAAGCTTTACTGACCATGAGCATAGGTTATGTTGGGCTGTGCCCTTCATTTTTCTAGTCAAAAGCAGACTGGTGCAACAAGAAGCTCCATAGCGGCATCCGTTAATTCCCAGAGAACCATTAATGACCAGCACTGCTGATAATTAATCCCAGGAACTCCTGTTTGGTAATTTATATCAGTGGAAAGTAAAATCAAATTAGTTTGAGAGTGTTTCAAATGACTATACAAAATAAATATTGCTGACAGTCTATGATTGCATACATGATCCTTAAATGAGGATATGAAAATGCTTCCATCAACTTTAACACTGCCAAGGACTCAGAGTCTGTATTAGTTTTGTCTTCTAAATGGGCATTTAATTTATGGATGTGATTAAGACAATGGAAATAGAGTACAGGAGGAAATGAATGCTTGTGTAATCAGAAAAAAAACCCTGACACTTATTGAATGAAGACCATCTGTTCCTTTGGTATATAATACTGCTCTGTGGATAGAAGTTCAGGACTCATTCTAGATATGCTTACCCGAAAGCAAACCCTTACTTTAGAAAACCTAGTGATGAAAGATAACTAAAGATTGCTGCACTAGATTTTGATCTGGGGTCCAGGAGTCAGGTATGAATTTCTACAGTGGCTTTAGGAAATTGTTTGAGTCCCTTAAATTTAAGGCTACTACAATTTTTTAACGGTTTTAATGTTTTTAAAGTTTTAATATTGTTGTACACTGCTCAACAACGACTGGCTAAAAAATCTTGTAAGTAAATAAATAAATTTACAACTTAAGTGCAATTGAAGGGGAATAGATAAAAGTCAATAAATGGAAAATCTTCCTCTTTCTCTTTCTTTCTTTCTCTCTCTCTCTCTCTCTTTCTTTCTTTCTTTCTTTCATCAAAGACATATACCAATTCATTTTAATGGGCAGCAGGCTCCCTCACATAGCCATCCTGTCTCTGGAATATCAGCATTAGTGTCTCTCTAGCTTAGACATGAAAGAACATTTCAGCGAGGCGATTGAGACAGTCTTTCTAGGTTTCTGAAATCATACTTCAAAGGCATCAGTTTAAGACCAATCGTCAAATGAAGCAAGTTAATTCACATAATTCTAGTGGTGGGAGAAACTCCTGCTGGAATACTCAGTGGTCATAAAAGTCAATAATTTTCTTCTTCTAGTCAAGGGCTATCTCTTGAGTCAGTTTTGGGCCCTAGTATACTGCTTTATTATTGTTAATAAGGAGGAACCTTGAGCTGTTTCAGAGAACTTCAGAGCCCAGTGCCAGATGAGACCAAAGGTTATCAATTGCAGCACTCATTTTCTCACAGCAGTCAGCCAGATGCCTACAAGCAAAACAGAAGCACAAAAACACCCTCCTTCCTGCTTTTGTTCCTTACTGACTTGTGTTGCTTTTGCTCCTGCAAGGAACATATAGCCATCATGACTACTAGCTTTTGGCAGCCAAGTAGGCCCCTAACCAGTTGGAAAAACACGGTACGAGCTGGCAAGTACATAAGCAATGTGTGTAATCTTGCTAGCTGTCCATGGCGTGCTTGAACATGCCTCGGTCATGCAACCAGCTGCATACCTGGACAGGTGACAGACAGGTGGCAAAATGTGAAAACATTTCAATGAATAAATTTTGGGCATAGTAGCTGACAAGGATGGAGGTAGCACAGAAAGCCTTTTTCCCATGTGGAAAATGGGAGGAGGTGTGGTGTTAATATCTGAAGCATCTGGATTAAGAACTTCATCCAGTTCTTAATCCAGAGACCCAAAGGCGTCAAAGGGCAGGGTGCTAACTATGGACATCTGGCCCATGAGCTGGAGGGCAGAATCCAATTCCCCATTCATAAAGAATGTAAATGGAGAAGGCTATATGAACTTAGAGAGCAATCTGGGAAAGTGGAACTGGAGTATAAATGGATGATATAGAAACGACGTACAAGTGTCCATTGCTTGGTGTGAAAGAACTGCATCTATACCATGGCTTGGATCCAGACTCAGTCATGCTTAGAGCAGAATCATAGGAATTAATAGGTCATGCTTAGAGCAGAATCATAGGAATTAGTAGACTTGGAGCCAAGAATGTATAACTTGTCCTAGTGGTTTTTAATGAGTCTATTCTAAGCATGACTTAGAAGCTGATTGTGTATTTTTGTTCTAGGTTTTTTGGTTTTGGGAGAGAGCATCTGTTTTGGATGATAGTTCCTAAGAATTACATGTCTTAGCAATCAGATTTGTCAATTCTACCATTGTTATACTTATACTCTCTTATACTCAGTGGAATAAATCTGTACAAGCTATCACCCCATTGACTGTCTTACAAACTCACTACATTTTTTGTATTTTGATGCTAAGTATAAATATTAGCCATTATATTTGTCTCTCTTATATCTGAGTGGGATGTGGTGGCGCTGCAGGCTAAACCGCAGAAGCCTGTGCTGCAGGGTCAGAAGACCAGCAGTCATAAGATCGAATCCACGTGACGGAATGAGCTCCCGTTGCTTGTCCCAGCTCCCGCCAACCTAGCGGTTCGAAAGCATGCAAATGCAAGTAGATCAAAAGGGACCACCTCGGTGGGAAGATAACAGCGTTCCGTGTTTAAGTCGCACTGGCCATGTGACCATGGAACATTGTCTTCGGACAAAACGCTGGCTCTATGGCTTGGAATCGGGGATGAGCACCGCCCCCTAGAGTCGAACACGACTGGACAAAAATTGTCAAGGGGAACCTTTACCTTTTACTTATATCTGAGGAGGTGGATTTTCTCCATGAAAGCTCATATTAAAATATGTCTTTTATACGTTGTCTATTAAAATGTATTCTTTTATTTTATTTTTGTTTTTACCCATAAGACTTGCAAATGAAATCCATGTTTCTTTTTTCATGACCAATCATGAAATAAACGTGCAGAAAAAACATTTCTCAGGATGCTAGAAAATGATGTTTATTGCTTTTAAAACCCAACATGTTTTGACTTGCCCTTGTTCAAAGAGTTTCTTTCCTTAAGGAGATTAAAAGAAGAGGTCTGTATGGGCTTCTCCTGCGGGAGGTCTCTAAATCAACTCATTGGTACCTGCAGAGGTTTCTCACTTAGAAGCCTAGAAGATGGTATTACAATATTGACAAGCTGAAATGTGTTGAGCTTTTCGAAGACATAATCATTCTTTCTCAGCATGTAGAGATACATTACTTCTGTCTGTGAATTCTCTTTGGACGCTCTCCATTGTTCACTAACTCCAGTCATGAAATAAAACAAGCTAATTTGCAAGATGTGAGGCCAAGAAAAGCTCATGCTAGCACACATGGACGGCTTCTAGCAATTAAGGGTACCTAGTTTTTAAATGCATAGACGAGCATTTCATGTAGTTGTGACTTATGAGTCTGGATAAAGTCCTATGAAAATAACAGCTCCTGATATAAGTTTCTTTTCAAGATGAATTCAGTAAGTATTTCAGAGCTCACTATGTATGTAAAAATATTATATGGAAAATTCATACAACTGAATGTTAAGTAATAGTGACTATTCAACTTTCTTTCCAGCAGTTCTACAGCACCGGGAGCTGCACAATAACCTGAAATACAATGAGAACACTTTTACTTGCTAGCTTTCTCCTTACTGCTGTTGGGATTTGCCTAATGAAAAGCCACGTAACCAGACCAGCGGCTGGCGGGAGCACACATTTTGCGGTGGATTTCTATTGTGTTCTCTCTCAGTCCAGGAAAAGGGAGAACATTCTCTATTCCCCTCTGGGAGTTTCCTTGCTCCTAAGAATGGTGCATCTAGGAGCCAAGGGGAAAGCACATCATGAGATCAGTCAGCTTTTGAGGTTGCGAGGAAATGACAGTGAGTACCCTTGTAAACTAACTGTTGCCATTCCTACAAGGGTTTGGAGCAGGAGTGGACAGCTTTGGGATGTTTGGAGGATTCAATTTTAACCCCCTGGTTTTCTCTGTGGACTACGCTGCCATATTTGGCGGCAAATGTGAGATGGGGGACATGTTTAAAGCAAGCACTTTGCTCACCTTAAATGCACTGTGGTAGTTTAAAGTGAGCACTTTGTTTATTTAAAATGAACGGTGGCTGTCTAAAACTGTTGTTGGCTTATTTTAAATGATCTTTCTCGATTTCTTGCCCAGACTTTGGAGCCAACAGCTACAATGCACCAAAAGCAAGCAAAATTGTCCCACCCCACTTCCAGAGGTTGCTGGCATGCGATTTTCAGGAGGGGCCGTGGGAGACCACAGAAAGAGTGTTGGGAATTCATGTGGTCATATGAATCCCACCTCTGATATCTAGCTAATTTTGAAAATGCTGCCTTGGGGTCCTTTGACGAAGGATATGATACAAATAGCATAAATCATCTTTGTCACCTATAAGTTGTAATTCAATTCTTCAGAAAACCTATGGTTTATGAATGTGCTTTGTATCCATAATTCAAAACTCTAGGAAATGGCTCAATATTGTTGCACAGGATTGTTTCCTCCTGTTGCCAGCAGGAAAAAAAGATGCCAGGCTTTACACTAACATTCTCACTTGTTGAAAAACAGTCCCAACAATTGCTTCGTGTTTTGGTGAGAAATGCTTAACTGATGAAAAAAGGCGACAGCTTCTGGGATTTTTCCTTGCTTGGTGCCACTTTGTGAATTGTATAGAGCACAAGAGGGTGTCCTGTAGACCAATGGTCCCCAACCTTGGGCCTCCAGATGTTATTGGACTTCAACTCCCAGAAATCCTGGGCAGCAGAGTTGGTGGTGAAGGCTTTTGGGAGTTGTAGTCCAAGAACATCTGGAGGCCCAAGGTTGGGGACCACTGCAGTGTAGACCATCCCATTGCTATCATTGGTCTTATGGGTAAAAACAAAAATAAAATAGAAGAATACATTTTAATAGACAACGTATAAAAGACTTATATTTTAATATGAGCTTTCATGGTTGCCCTTTGCTACATAAAATTTAGCATCCTTTTCCCTACTGGCAACGTGGGCATGATACTGTGGAACTCTATCAGGCCATTTCCTAGTGTGTTGGGTTGTAGATACAGAAGCACAATATCTCACATACATAAACTAGAAGTTTTTTGAAGAATTGAATTTTCTGTCTTTTTAAAATGGAAGTTAAAATATACAGTGGTATGTGTGTGTGCACACACTGCACACACATTCTAATAGAAACTTCACTCCTGTAGAATTTGTTTGTTTGTTTAGTCATTTAGTCGTATCCGACTCTTCGAGACCCCATGGACCAGAGCACGCCAGGCTTTCCTATCTTCCACTGCATCCCGGAGTTGTGTCAAATTCATGTTGGTTGCTTCCATGACACTGTCCAATCATCTCATCCTCTGTCGTCCCCTTCTCCTCTTGCCCTCACATTTTCCCAACATCAAGGTCTTTTCCAGGGAGTCTTCTCCTCTCACGAGATGGCCAAAGTATTGGAGCCTCAGCTTCAGGATCTGTTCTTCCAGTGAGCAGTCAGGGTTGATTTCTTTTAGAATGGATAGGTCTGTTCTCCTTGCAGTCCAGGGGACTCTCAAGAGCCTCCTCCAGCACCACAATTCAAAAGCATCAATTCTTTGGCGGTCAGCTTTCTTTATGGTTCAGCTCTCGCTTCCATACATCGCTACAGGGAAAACCACAGCTTTGACTATGAGGACTTTTGTTGGCAATGTGATGTCTCTGCTTTTTAAGATGCTGTCGAGGTTTATCATCGCTTTCCTCCCAAGAAACAGGTGTCTTTTAATTTTGTGGCTGCTGTCTCCATCTACAGTGATCACGGAGCCCAAGAAAGTAAAATCTGTCACTGCCTCCATATCTTCCCCTTCTATTTCCCAGGAGGTGATGGGACCAGTGGCCATGATTTTAGTTTTTTTGATGTTGAGCTTCAGACCGTTTTTTGCACTCTTCTCTTTCACCCTCATTATAAGCTTCCTTAATTCCTCCTCACTTTCTGCCACAAGAGTGGTATCATCTGCATATCAGAGATTGTTAATATTTCTTCCGGCAATCTTAATTCCTGTAGAATTATACAGTGCTAGAAAACCCCAGGAGATGAGCACATGATGTATGCTATGGTTGCTGTGTGTGGGGGGGACAGAAACAAGAACAGCTGGGATGTGGCCATAGTCCCTCTGTGCCAAAATATTTTGAAGGGCTGTGTTTAGGCTTAATGACATGGTGAAGGAATGGTGTAAGTAACTGAAACACATAAATGGAGAAATATACACACCCTTTAACCTCTCCGATAAACTAACGGTGCCCCCAGTTTTAGAATTGCTTTGTAGAATGTTGATTTGCTCTCCTGCATAATAACATCACTGCACTCTAGAATGCAGCTAGAATAATCTGTGTTGCAGTTGTAGTAAAACCATTATCTCCCGTTTGTTGGCAACACAATATTTTACTTCCTGTATCTTATGCATAAATTCACACATGCATGCACGCATGCACCCACAGTTGCCTTCTGTGCTTCTAAAAGAGGCAATAACTGAATGGCGCTTTCAACTTCAAGGCCTAAGAAAATGTTATAAGATTATACAATTGCTTATGCTTCAAATGCTATCCGAGCCAAATGGCAACCGAGAAAGAAAAGCTACTGTGCAAGGAACACATTTTGACATCATTTAGTATAGCTACTATGCTATTTGGAACTATTTTGTTTTCAAAACTAAATTCTTTGAGTTCCAAAGCACAAGCACACACATAAATAAAATAATAATAATACCACACCAGATCAGAAAGACAGATGGGGATCTTTATCGTGGCTTGTTTTTTTTTAGACCTTTCACAGATGATGGAAATCCATTCATTCAAGCAGATGATTGCCTACTATTATAATCCAGTTTTTCCCTTTAGAAAAGGCATTAGGAAAGAGACCCTCTTTTCTCAAAATCCCACCAGCTGCCTCACTGTCCATTAATAACAGTAAGCCTGGTCTTCACAGTGTCTTTTGCATTACATGCAGTCACAGGTTCCAGGGATGACATGCAGACAGTGCTTAACTGGATTTTTGGACCACTGGATTTTCATGAACATTAGACTTCAAGAAAGAGGATGGATTATAAGAGATCCTTTGGCACAAATGGCTGTTTCTCATCTTCAATAACTCCAATTCTTTTGGTTTTTGAGAATTTTGAGGAAAAAGGAGGAGCTACTGATTTCCTTCTTCCTTAACAATGGGCTCATCTACACTGGAGCGGGCTGGTGTGGGCTAAATAGGGTGGCTTGGGGTCAGGTGGAGGTGTGACATGGCATTTGGTGTGATCCTAACATCCGAATGGCATACTGGAGTTCAAGCGACCCCATTTGGTCTGACTTCTTGTGAAGTATCTTAGTAAGTGAGACACTTCAGAATATCAGCAAATTGAACACTTCCTCTGCTTCTTGAGGGAGGGGCAGGGGAAGTGAAATTTTTATGACTCTGATTGTTAAGGCACAGCATCACTTAAAAAAAATTATATTTTCTTTGGTTTGTATGAAGAGCCAGTTGAGAAACTGCCCGTGGCCAAATCTTCTAAAGGTTCATAACATTTAAATTGAACTTTTTTTGCCTTTCACGTTGTCCATCCTAGCTTTAAATAAAAGAAGAAAAGCACAAATATGGGCACTTTAAACAGTAATATTGTTTTGTGGGAGCTTTCATGGATCAAAATCCAGTTCTTCAGACTCCCTTTTCTCTCTCCCTGCTTTTCCTTTTAATTTTGCCCACGTGCTGAGACAGACTGACACGGCTATGTTGGCAATCTGCTCTTTGACAGTCCTTCAGGCCACTGTGTCCACCATTACATGGATGCGGTCTCCTTTCTAATAAGCAGATGGCACGAGGAGAAGAAAAATATATAATAAATCTGTAATTTGTACGTCTAGCAATTGTCCATCCTCAGACAGCTTATCTGCATGTCTCAGTATAAACACTTTTTGGAAAGAAAGATAAAAACAATTAAAGTACAGAGAAGTTAATTGCAATTTAGAAACGAAATAACATTCCTTATCATTAGAAATGCCAGTTCAGAAATGTCAGCAAAAAGACGCTTTGAAGGCTAATGTTCTATGTCATTATTATGGCGCTCAGACACTTCAGCTGTCCTTTAAATGTAACAGATCTTGTTCCATCTTGATTCAAGCCAATTTTTAATCCCTGCTGGACTGTCTATCACTCTGGAAATCCAATGCCTGACTCACCCGATAGCAACAGAAAGTGATTCTAAATGAATTGGATTTTCAAATAATAGGCCCATCAGCTGTAATCCTATGCAATTGTGGTAGCAGTGCTCACTTGGCCAATACGTATGTGGCATGAAATGAGGCTGGCTCATTGACCTCTGAAACCGCATCTGGTCCAGATCATATCAGTGCCAATTTTAATACTTGCTGCTTTTGTAGGGCTTCAGTTGTACATTAGTGGGGTAATGCTGCCACTGCTAAAACCCTTTCCTCTGAGTTTTAAGCTACTCTGCATGCATGCGCTATTGTGGCTGCTACCTCATTAGGCAGATGGTTGTGTGAAAGTAGTAAATTAGTAACAGTAGAGGATAATGGGCTTTTAGTTATATACATATATATCAGGAACTTCATTATTATTTTTGTTGGCAGAACAGAAAGCAGAAAAGATTTAGCCCAATCTCACCAGCCTTCCCTTGGGACACACACTCTAGTCCTTTTGTAAGAAAAAGTGACCCTTGTGGATCGATTTCTGTGACCTTTGCAACCTATGTTTGAGTTTATGGGTGTGTTTGAACATATTTACTGTATGTATAATCTGGTGAGAAAGGCCAGATTACTTATGAACATGTTTGAATTTGCTTATGGGCTCAAATGTAGATTGCAGAGAAAATGTGGAATGTAATAGAAATCCTCAGCTAGCTCCAGATGCATTTTACAAAGACAAAAGAGAAGTTTACTCACACTTGTCATGCAATTTATGGCAGGGAGGAAACCTTCATGCTTGTTTCTCAAAAGATAGTTGGAGTAGAAGAGGCTCACAACAAAGGAACAAGAAAAAACCAATAAAAAGACTGGCTGGTCCAGTGATAGATAGAGGCAGGAAAAAAGTTAACAATCAAATCAATGGCGATAGTAAAACAATAGGGCATGCCTGCTTCCACTGAACTCAATGTTAAATCATGCAAAATTGAAAATTTCCCAACAAAATAGCCAGTTGAAATTTGATCAAATGGGAGCTAGTAGTTAGACATTGCCTCCTGTAGTTATGAGTAAAATAACTTCCAAGGCTAGGAAATGGTGAAACCCTTCCAGTAGAGGACAGAAGAATATTTTATATTAATTATATGTTTGTGTTATACAGTACAGTATTTATATTTTGTCTTTCCAGAGTGTCGAAGATGATCCAAATGCCCCATTTCATCCTTACAAAAATCCTGTGGGTAGGCCAAAAAGAGTCTGAGTGACCCAAAGATATCCAGTGACTGAACGGGAATTTAAACTTAACTCTCTACAGAAGCTTGGATATGCTACTCTGGACAACAACTCCCAGAATTCCTAGCTTCGATAGCCTTTGACCATGCTAGTTGTAGGGAGTTCTGAGAATTTTATTCCCCCCCATAAAAAAGTAACATTTCCAAGCTCTGGTTCTAGTATGCAAGTCCAAGAAGTACATCACGCTGGCTTCTCTGTGCTGCATGTGTATGGGAAAGAGAGCAAGGACATGGGAGCAGTTGATAGTCACAAAGACAGAAAGCTCAGGTCTCTGAAGAACTTCATTTGCCATTCCTGCGCCCAACCTTTGTTTTTTCTCGATACTGTGACATTTATATCAAATTTCAGAAACATGTGCCTGCTACAGCTCATTTCTACAATCAGATTTCCCCTAGAAAGCATCTGAAACTTGGGGGGGGTGTTTGAGGGGCACAGAAACATGTCTATATTGGATAACTACCCTAATATACCACTGGTTCTCATTCTTCAAATGAAGATGTTAACTTCAAACACTTATTTTCTTCAGGTGAAGCCTTGGAGCTACTCCAGACCTTGTTTGCTGTCACCTCAGAAGAAAAAGCATTTACATTTAATCTTGCCAATGCCCTCTACCTTCAAGAAGGATTCCTGGTGAAAGAACAGTATCTCCATAGCAACAAGAAATTATTTCAGACGGCTGTAAAGCTGGTGAATTTCGAAGACACTAAAGCTTCTGCAGAAGCCATCAGTACTTGGGTAGAAAAGAAAACAGATGGTAAAAAAAAAAACCCACCACCCTCCCTAGTCCACAACTTCCTTGCTTTTGTTTGCTTCATAAGTGCTAATTGGTTAGGCCTTCTTGTTTTCTTTCTAGCTAAGGCCTGGTGTCTCAAGGGACAGGCATGTGAATTGAAGTGGAAAGCACTGGGAACAATCTGTATGCCAGGAACAATCTAAGAGGGTGCGGATTACAAGCCTGATCATAAAGTGCCTACCCACCTTTGCTCTCTCTTCTACAGCTGCAAAGATGGTGAGACACTTATTACATATTTGACACTGGAATAAAGAATTCGTTAAGAAACAGGGAAGACACTTCAGTTGGTTGGAAACTTGGGTTATAAGCATTGCAAGAGTCAAGAACCTTCTGACTCGCTTTCAAACATCTCCTACAGTCCTCCTTGCTGCTTAAGCAGTTGACCCTATTATTTGCTTGCAGCTGGAGTGATCTTCCTGCATTCATCCCAGGGGCTATCTCATCCCACAATGCAACTCAAAGGAAGAAAACGGGACTGGGCTCGCCTGTTAGGCACACCGAAGCAGTTGACACAGGTGGCAGGTGTTAGGTGAGGTAGAAGGGGACAAAGTAGTGTGCCAAGTCTCTGGGAGGCAGCTGACGTTTCAGGGAACTGCTGTGCTTCCTGAGATCTCTCAGCAGAGATTGAAATCTCTACACTAATGGCATTGGAAGCATGTGTGTGTGTCTGTCTGTCCGAGTTTTTACATCTGAGAACAAGGTTACACCAGGAAAAAAAATCCATATTCGAAAAGGGTTTAGCACGTTTTAAATTGGTTTAGGAGAGAGAGAGAGAGAGAGAGAGTTTTTACATCTGAGAGCATGGTTACACCAGGAAAAAAAATCCATATTCAAAAAGGGTTTAGCTCATTTTAAATTGGTTTAAAAAGAGGCAACTACATGAAGCAAAGTGAAGATTGGTTGACTGGGCATTGTGCTATTTTGATCAGAGGCAAGGTATTTTACTCTTCTGCAAGAGAGTTGCTTATTTTTACCCAGATGTAAAATGGAATTATTTTGAATCATTTTGGCATACCTCAATACTTCTGCTAGTGTAAATTATGATCTTCACCAACCCTTGTGTATTTGTTTTCGTGTGTGCATCTCCCTCCTTCACAAGCCTAGTAAATAATGTCACTGGTCAAGTTCAGTCCTGGCTTTGTGTATTACTCCTTCACAAGTCTAGTCAAGAAAGTCTTTGGTCAGTTTCAGCTCCAAGTGTGTGTGTCCCTCTTTTTCTTCACTCTCTCTCTCTCTCTCTCTCTCTCTCTCTCTCTCTCTCTCTCTCTGTGTGTGTGTGTGTGTGTGTGTGTGTGTGTGTGTGAGAGAGTGTTGTGTGAGTGAGTGAGAGAGAGAGAGAGTGAGAGAGAGAGAGCAGGGGGGGCTTTAGGCAAACTTCTGGTTTAATTTTTTTATTTCTGTCATTCTGTTTTAGCACTATACTAGATAGCAAGAATTTTTTTTTAAAGTAAAAATAACACCACAGCAGCTGCAGCAGCTAGTGACTGTAAGACACAGCTAGTGTGAGGGTGAGTGCAGGACAAAACCTCAAATGCAACAATTCTAAAAGCCCATATAGCTGCTTCAACCAATATACAACACAGCTTTAAAATGCATTAAACGTTTTCCCCAAGAGAACTCACGCACCAATACAAAAATAATGTGATTTACCACATGACTTTGAACTGAATTCAAAACCCCCGATCCATCACCTGATTTATTTCATTACTGTAACTGCACTGTTAGATATCTTTAAAGTCTGGATATCATTGCACCTATTCCAGGTGGAGCCAAGGTGTACTGACTTACAGACAAATGTGGATATGAGTTGCTGTTGTCTCCCTCCCAAACTTTGCCTGCCTCACTTCTGTGACATCCTATGAGCCCTCTTCCCTGATGTCACAAGGCCTGCCCCTGTGTTTTAGATTTTGGCTTTGAAATCTCAGGTGACATTCGGCTTCTGACTGTGAGACTCTGCCAACAGAACACTTCTTGCTATTCCTGGATGGGAAAGGAGTGTGTTCCAGAAAGCCTGGCCTAATCTACTCCCTAAGTGAGACTCTTGCTGTCAGGTTCAGGGAATGATGCTGTCCACATCATGAGTGAATAAGTAAGAGTTAACTGAAGCCTAGTCTAGGAGGAATGGGAAGGAGAACCATCTTACCCTTGGCTTCATGCATGCCTGGGGAAGGTGATGCAGAGGAAGAAAATGGCGAATAAGTAAGAGTTAACTGAAGCCTAGTCAGTACCTCTAGGTGGGAAGGAGAACCATCTTACCTTGGCTTCATGCATGCCTGGGGAAGGATTCCTTCCTCACAAGATGCAGAGGAAGAAAATGGGTCCCCAATAAAGATAGGCCCCAGATCACCTTTCTGGGGATTATTTTGGCTATGGTAAAATGGCAGGCAAGCTAAGGAAATTGTTTTTTTAAAAAGAAATTATATTGTTTGCTTTCTTCCTGTGAAGCCTGTTTGGATGGGTGGAGGTAGCGGCCATGGGAGGTGAAATGTTACAGGGTAGATAGATGGGAAATTGCTCCAGCTATAGGGCAGCACAAGGAACAATTGTTTCAACAATGAAAATCACAGCAGCAAAAATTACCTTAATTGTATTTATTTATTGCACCAGTCATACCCCATGGCGAGATAAACCAGTTACAATCAGTCAGACTGACATACAATAAAAATAATACTGTAAAATAACAATAAAACGGTGAAAATTAGGGCGATAGACCTAATAAACGTCCATGCACATTAGATGCCTTTAAGTCAGTACTTTACATACTTTTTAATCAGTACTTTACTTGTGAGATAGATTACTCAGTTACAGGTGGTATTTGACTGTGATTATATTAGGATAGACTAAAATTAGTGAGATGCCTTTTATTTTTGCTGTGGTTGCTATGGGTTGTCAAGTTGTTTTCATCAGATAGTATCTTTTTGAATTAATAATTTCCAGAAGGTGCTGCTCAAGTCTTGCTTACTGAGGGTTGTGGCTTCCTTGATTGAGGCCGTCTCTCCCATGCTAGGTCTTCTACTTCTACCACTTTCATCTTTTTTTTCTAAAATTATTTATTGACTTTCCTTGTGAATCTCATCCCATCATAGTATGCTTAAAATATGATAGACTCAAATTAGTCATTTTAACGTTTAGTGAGAGTACAGGCTTGGGTTGTTCTGATATGTAATAATAATTCTATCCCGTCAAGAAGGTTTTGACTTATGGCCACCTTTTTCAGAGTTTTCTAGGCAAAGAATACCCAGATGTGGTTTACATTCTCTTCTTCCAAATGCACTCTGAGACAGTGCAACTTGTCCAAGGCTAGGGAGGTTGGCTTTTCTCCCAGGAGACACTATGAGGAATTGAACTCCCAACCTCTGGCTCCACTGCCAGAGACCTAACTCACTGAGCTACCCAGACAGCTTGTTTGGATCTAGAACCCACCTATTTGTCTTCAGGTGGTCTATGGCATCCGTAAAACTCCCTTCCCACATTATTCAGAGATCAACTCTTTTCCTTTCAGCTTTCTTCATTGCCCAACTTTGTCTAATTTAATTTGCTTCACTGTTCAACATGATTGAGATTTCAAGCTCAATAAAGAGAACAGGTGTTAAAGAATCATTGTATGGTCTGTTGAGAGGTACTGTTAATGATTTCTCTCCATCCCCACTAACTAGAGAACTAGGTGAGACTGAAAATGCTCTCTTCTGCATTTCGGAAGCTCACAGACTCCTGATTTGGCTTGGAGCACAGAAAAATCTAGCAGTCTATGCAATAGCAGAACAGGAGATTAAATTTAGATGGTCCACAAAGTAGGGGGGAAGTCATTTGAAGCCAAATAGTGTTACACAATGGTTTGAGGTAGTTGAATCTCTCATTATGGTGCAGTCCACTATGCATGTTGAAAATCAGTTTCCTCTAATGCCAGACTGCTCCTCAGCAGCTAATTGATATTTTCAATAACAAAATTAAAAACACATGTATACAGAGACACACACAAAGTGGTCCATAAGTCAAAACAAAAATCAGAGCTGAATAATTCCATTTGTTAGGAACACTAATATGTTAGCAGAAGCAACGCATAAGTGGAACAACTACACAGGAGCTTGAAACCAGCAAAGATGTCCCTCATCTCAACAGTGACCCTAGAGAGGTCTGTTGAAACTGACAAATGACAGATTCACCTCTCTTCCCAGATTTCCTGTTCTGGTAGCTTAAAAATCTTATTAATTTCAACAGGTCTTGTCAAATTTCCTTAAGAAACCCCACTGCACAAGGTAGCTTCCTGAAGTTCTCCTTAGGAAAAATAAGAAAAGCACGGTAAGAGTTGAAATGGCAGGAAATTAAATGAGTGCTGGAGCAAGAGGAGGGGATGATTTTTTTTCTTTCCAAAATGCTATCTTCCACTTTGTAGAGGGACAAGATAATGAGCAATCATCCTTCAACAGAGCCAGTGATTGGGTAGCCTTAGCCAAGAAGAAAATGGCCTTTTGGTTATTGCCTGGAAGCATCTGAAGAGAGCACCTATTGATTTTCTGTCTCAGGTGCACCAGTTGGAAGCACAAGACTTAGGTCCGTCTCTAAGGAAAAAAGAAATGCATCTGATAATCCTATATATTCATTTTTCTCACTCCCGCTGTGAGAGATATTAAAGAACTTTAAGGGTATTTGTTCTCTGAACCCCACTGAAACCATGGCCCCAGATATGGACTTATTCCCAGCATAAAGAAGTAAAATGTTCTAATCTGCTCTGTTTCCCATGATCTATATCCCATGGATACTAAAATATATTAGAGAAAGGAGTTCAGGTGTTCAATTACATGTGTCAATAAACCACAGCAGCAGTTCAGCACGAAACTGGCAAGAACATGAGGCGGTGTGATGTTATCTCAGAATCAACAAGCAGAGGGCCTGGTGACAGGGCAAAAGACCAAGAACTGACTTAGAACCATCAGTTCTGGCTCCCCTAGTTTGTGGAATCAGTTGGTTGAAATTTCACATCAATTTTATGTCACACAGAGCCCTGAATTATGGCATTGTGCCCTGAAGCCTCCTTCTACTCCCTTCCTCCTTGAGAAGCAAAATGTTATAGGAAGAATTGCTTTGCCAATAGTATTGCCTTTGGTTCCCTGCAGCTGCAGCTGCTTGATCGGAAGGAATTGGGTGGCAACGCTAATGCCTGTGCCATGAAAGTTTCGCCTATTGACTCCTGCTTGGAAAGCCACTCAAATGGCACAGCTGCAGGGGCGGGCTGAAGAATTGGCAAGACACGGGGACTTCGGTCCTTAAACATGACATAAATACCACTGGAATTGTTTTATCTTGGGGTCCTCTGGCAGCTGTATTGCAGTATTTAAAGTTAATCATCAACATCTTAGAACTGCAGAGCCTATGAATCATTGAGTCCAGTCCCTGTCAAGGAGGCCCAGTGGGGATTCAGACTCCCAACCTCTGGCTCCATAGCCAGATCCAGCACACATTACAAATTATAATGTTTAAACTTAGTGTGTCTTTTGGCTTGATTCTAACAACCTTTCAACAAAAGTTCAGTACTATTCATTGCAGATTCAGTGGGAACGACAGCCTTAAATTCAGTCCAAAGTATTAAATCAGAACCACAGGACATTCCAGGAGACAGGGCAGAGCTACAACTTAAAAATCAGAATCCTCGGACAACCAAGGAGACAGAATCAAGAAGCAGGCCAGAAGCCACTCAAGACCAAAGAATACAAAAACAGGACACTGCTCAGTAGGATCCTAATATTCAAGTAAAACTCAGAAGAAACCTCTCTGATATTCCTTTCTTTTTCTATGAAGTTCCAATGGCTAACTTGGTTGGACAGAGTTCTGGGATGGATGGTACTAAATGAGAAGATTCCACCTGTAGTTTCATGGATCACATTTGGGAGATGCCCTCAGATTGATCTGTCTATCTGTTTAGAGATAAAGTTGTTGTTTAGTCGTTAAATCGTGTCCGACTCTTTGTGACCCCATGGACCAGAGCATGCCAGGCCCTCCTGTCTTCCACTTCCTCCCGGAGTTGGGTCAAATTCATGTTGGTTGCTTTGATGACAACCATCTCGTCCTCTGTCCTCCCCTTCTCCTCTTGACCTCACACTTTCCTAACATCAGGGGCTTTTCCAGGGAGTCTTCTCTTCTCACGAGATGGCCAAAGTACTGGAGCCTCAGCTTCAGGATCTGTCCTTCCAGTGAGCACTCAGGGTTGCTTTCCTTCAAAATGGATAGGTTTGTTTTCTTTGCAGTCCAGGGCACCACAATTCAAAAGCATAAATTCTTCAGCAATCAGCCTTCTTTATGGTCCAGCTCTTGCTTCCATACATCGCTACAGGAAAAACCATAGCTTTGACTATGCAGACCTTTGTTGGCAAGGTGATGTCTCTGCTTTTTAAGATGCTGTCTACGTTTGTCGGTGCTTTCCTCCCAAGAAGCAGGCATCTTTTAATTTGGTGGGCTCCTGTCACTATCTGCAGTGATCATGGAGCCCAAGAAAATACAATCTGTCACTGCCTTCATATCTTCCCCTTCTATGTGCCAGGAGGTGATGGGACCAGTGGCCATGAGCTTAGGCTTTTTTGATGTTGAGTTTCAGACCATTTTTGAGCTCTCCTCTTTCACTTTCATTATGAGGTTTTTAATTCCTCCTCACTTTCTGCCATCAGAGTGGTATCATCTGCATATCAGAGGTTGTTGATATTTCTTCTGGCAATCTTAATTCCAGCTTGGGATTCATCCAGTCCTGCCTTTCGCATGATGTATTCTGCATATAAGTTACATAAGCAGGGAGACAATGCACAGCCTTGTCGTACTCCTTTCCCAATTTTAAACCAATCAGTTGTTCCATATCCAGTTCTAACTGTTGCTTCCTGTCCTACGTATAGATTTCTCAGGAGATAGATAAGGTGGTCAGGCACTCCCATTTCTTTAAGGATTTGCCATAGTTTGCTGTGGTTGACACAGTCAAGAGCTTTTGTGTAGTCAATGAAAGGATAAAGTAGGAGATAATAATTTACACCACCTTGAGATCTAGAAATTTAGTAACTAAAGAAGCCATGCCTATCTATGTCTGCCTCCAGTGGTAGAGTTCTGGCTCTGTGTTCCTGTCCATCACCACCTCAAACCCCTCCCTCTCCACAGCTAGTAGAGAAAGAAAGCTCACAGGTCTGATTGGAGAGAACAGTGGGGATTCAACTTCCCAGTCTCTGTTTGTGCTTCCAGAACCACAGTCACTCCATGTGGTTGTTGGAAGCACTAGTTCAACGTGTAAGAACGAGCACAGCTGGACTTTTTTTTTCCCATCTGAGGCTTCCAGGAGCTCTAGAAAGTGAAGTCTGAGAGTGTTCTCTTCTCCTCGTTCAAGAGGGCTTACAATCCTGAATAAAGGGCTTTTAAAATGCATCAAGCAGAAGAGGAAAGGGGTTGGCGAGAAGTAGGAAAAAGAAAAATGCATGTGGAGGAAAGGGGGGAGCCAAATAGTTCTTGCAAATGCCAGCTAATTTGTGTGGAATAGGGACAGGTGATCTCACAGCACTAGGATATAATGCAGCACCCTTTGTAATAGTAACATCGAGAGCAAATTGACCCTGTTATAGTTGATAATTTGCTCAGAGAGCTACAGATCCACCAGTAGTTGAAATTTCTGTTACTATAATTTTTTGAATCATGTTTTATTTGTGTATACATCCATCACTGAAGGGCATCCTGCATTAGCAGTCTTGTCTGCTCTGCCTGTCCTTATGCACTGCATTCTTCTCCAACCAGTGTTATTCACACTTGCTTTGTTTCCAACATGCAGCATCTGAGCATATGCAAAGATGTAGAGTTGAGATACTTAGCAGCTCTGAAAGCACATGTACACAGATATAAATAAAAAGTCTGTGGAATTTTAAAGGTGAATGATTTTACAGTATTTGGCCCCAGCCAATCAAACCGGCTTCACTTGGGTTAAAATCCCATGACTATCACTCTCACCTGTTTCCCCTCTCTTCTCTGTGTGCCCTCTTCTGCACGGATTTTCCTCTCAGTCTGTTTATTACCTTTGTACTCATTCCACTTATCTGTGCAGTACGGTTCCCAGAATTCCCCAGACAGCGCAGCTTTGACTTCATGGATATTTGGAGGGGCCCGATCCATACATTTACAGCAGTGGTTCCGAGGCTTAGTTCCCTAGATATTCTACAAATCCCAGAAATCAGGGCCAGCACAGTTAGAATTAAGCCTTCTGTGAGATTCAATCCAAGAACACCCGCTGTAGTTCAGTGGAATGCTGTATGCTATAGTTCAGTGGAAACTACTGAACTACAGCATATCTGAAAACATGAATTACTTAACTCAGTTTGTTGATATCTTTAAAATGATGTGCACATAACTCTGCAGGTAGCAGCAGCAGCAATTTTAATGTATATCATGCAGCATATATTTAAGACCAGCTACTCTTAAGATAAGGGACGTGGTGGCCCTGCAGGCTAAACTGCAGCAGCCTGTGCTGCAGGGTCAGAAGACCAGCAGTCATAAGATCAAATCCACACGACGGAGTGAGTGCCCGTCGCTTGTCCCAGCTCCCGCCAGCCTAGAGGTTCGAAAGCATGCAAATGCGAGTAGATCAATAGGGACCACCTCGGTGGGAAGGTAACAGCATTCCGTGTCTAAGTCGCACTGGCCATGTGACCACGAAAGATTGTCTTCGGACAAAAAATGCTGGCTCTATGGCTTGGAAATGGGGATGAGCACCGCCCCCTAGAGTCGGACACGACTGGACAAAAATTGTCAAGGGGAACCTTTACCTTTACCTTACCCTTAAGATACTCTCTAAATGTAATGAAAATCCGGCCAGTTATTTAAGACAAAATAAAGCATTTGCAAAATTATTTTTATGTATGTCATATACCCTATACGTATTTGAAATCAGAGCACCCCATAGATACCCTCTGAATTTGGTGAAAAACTAATTGGGATCTCTCCAAGGACTCCTAAACTCAATTTTTTATATGGCACATAGCCTATATTTCAAGGTGGAGCATGTAAACATACCCTCCACATTTTGTGAACATCTATCCAGAAATTTAAAAAAACTGACTAGAGTCCTTGACAGACCCCAAATTGATTTTAAAGTATACCACGGAATTAGCTTTTAAAGCCAGCCCATCCCACAACTGTCTTCTGAATTGGGTGAAAGCTTCTCTAGCTGTAACAGTGTGATGCAGTAACAGTTAGAAAAGCAGGCAGAAATTTACCTTTGATTCTATAGATATGTTTTTCTGGACTTCACTTATGGCATGTAAAATTGTCTTTAAGGTGCAAGAAGATTGCATTGTGTTTTGTTACAACACACCATAGACCAGCATGGCTGGCCCACAAGAAGTATAAACTTCAACTTGAACTCCAGTTATATTTCAAAATGAATGAATGAATAAATGAATGTTTTGTTTTTGTTTTTTAAAGCTAAGGCTTGTTGGAAAGCTTGAGATATAGTGACATCACTAGGTTGGAGACATTTGGAGAGAAATACAGGAAGAAGATATGGATGTGCTACATATTATGAAGCAGTTAGTATCAGTTTGAATTGGGATTTGGTTCTTCAAGGGCACAACCAGTCTTCTACATGCTACACAAAACATGTGCAAGAATTCATGATAATGCTTTAGGAGGTGTTATATTAATATGATCTTTTATTGTAAGCCTCTCCCTAACCATATGCACTTTGGTCAGTTAATGAACACACATTTGCTTATGTCTTTCCATGAAGGTAAAATAAGAAATCTTATTTCAAGCAATGATCTTGGTCCCTTGACTCGACTTCTGTTGGTGAATGCCCTTTTCTTCAAGGGTAACTGGAAGCAAGTGTTCCAAGCAGAAGACACTACTCTGATGACTTTCACGAAGGGTGACCGTTCCATAATCAAGACACCAATGATGCATCTTCAGCTGACAACAAAGCTTGGTAATTTAAACATTCCAGCCTTTTAATGTATCCACATCTGAGTATGTATAATATTATTAATGCTATAAATGCTATAAGAGTGGGCACTGTGTTCATCTAAACCACCACCACCACCATAGGGGCCACAATCCTATTACCTGCTGGCATAAATCCAACAATGTTTATTTGTATATGTTAGCAGCGATAACCATGAAAGCTTCACCTAAAATTTAGAGCCACTGGGTTCACCAGTGTAATGAACACTTCTCCTTCCATCCTCCAAAGCCCAAATAATTGTATGCCAATTACTTTATTTTACTTTAAACATACTGCTTGTCATCCTGTCAGGATTTCAAGGAAGGGTACAATCAATTATACTGTATTATATATTACACTAATCAGAAGGCTAGAGGTTGAATAATTGAGAATGAAGCAGGAGAGCCCATGGTTCGCCTTTATGAAGCTTCACATCCTGATCCCCTGGGGTTTTGATAGCATATAAAGAGATCCTGCTGGTTTTATAATCAGAACTACTAGTTACAGACCTTCCACATTATTACCGTTTGCTGCAGTCTTTTTGTTATTTTGCTTGCAATATTCTCTTATTCTGTCACTGATTGAGAAGCTAATCCTATGCTTCTTCTTTTGACATAAAGGGAAGTCATCTTGTATGGCAGTCCATTTATTAAAATCAATTAAAAATGCACAGAAATTGAGCCATGCTTTCGACAGCTCCCAAACTGTATCAGGAAAGATATCACAAACAGCAGAAACCGAGGAAGAGGAGGAAAAAGGGCTAATGATGTCTGCATTGTCAGAATTTCAAGACAAAATGTAGGATGAGACTCAGACTAAAGTGGGTGATGCTCTAGCAGATATCCTATCTCTTCCTATCGGGAAACTGCAGTTTGCCAAAAATTGGAAACAAATCCCCAGTAACTAGGTTTTCTACTTTCATGAGTGGGCTAATCAGTCATTATTTCCTCCTTGTTTGGTAGCAAAAACTCTAGATGTTTCTTAAATTCTGCAGAGTGGATAGCATGATTTCGTCCTTCAGAGGATCTGGGCTAAATAACCCACAATCACTTATGTGTTTACCAGGGCACAGGACACCAACTGAAGTGATTGGGAACTGTTGTTTCTCAGAGGGGGAGAAAACTCTCAGCACAAGTTCCACTGGAAATGGAGGAAGTTTTATTTTTTTTTGTGTGTGAGAGGTGGCTTTAAAGGCTTGGCATCCATCTCTGCCCATTCTTTGCTAGTATCATGGCTGGCTGGCTGAGCATGAAGATCTCTCTCTCTCTCTCTCTCTCTCT